ATCAGATATCGGAGTTACAATTAGATCGAATCATAACCGATTTTCAAGACTTTTTCCAGCGGTCAGTTTTCTAGATCCAAGAATTAAAAAAAAAAGTTTTCTGTCGAGTGAAATTTAAAATATATATGGTTTTTCATTCAGGATCCAAATATCTTGTAAAATTAAAAATGCATTTAATAAAACATAATTGTCTAACGATAACGTAAAATTGTCAAATAGGAAAAATATTTTAAATGGATTAATGATCACCGAAATAAAACCTCCAGGCCTTGGAACCATCTCGCCTAGACTTAATGATGTTTTATTCGTCTCAATCGATTCCAAAGGCGTTCTCTCCAAGACTCTAAATCAACACCATCAATCCTCGGTCTGATGTCGGGTGAAGATGAAGCTGTAGTCGATTAAAGAGAAGAAAAAAAAATCATCCAATAGTTCAGTTCAGGAGCGATCATCAATTTCTTCAGAATTTTCATTCCGCACCTTAAAACGTTATTTTCGGTAAAAACCGAGGAAAATGCAAAAGTGAACTTTGCATCCATGATTTCTTACTTGAGAAATGGAAACGAGAAATTTTCCGACTGAATTAATTCAAAATGTTGAGCACATGAAATTGCAACCACGTACTGCTTGAACAAAATAAGCTTTCATGTACCCCTTTTACATGCAATACGAAAACTCAAATGTAAACAAAATCGCAAACATAGAGGTAAACAAAGTAGGAGCGCATTCTTTCAAAATGCTCTGACGCACATTATGAATAACAACACTCTTGAATCTTTGGAAGTGCACTTTAGTGGATAGCATAAACTTCAGCCCCTTTTTTAAACAATTGGGGCGGTATCATACGCGAACTCTTGAAAAGTAAATCATGAGTCATATGTATATATATATGTACCTGTACTCGATTTTCGTTACCGAGCGAATTGGAAGAACAAATACTCTGTAAGATCAGTCTCACATTCAGCCCGAAAACATTTGCAAGATGACACAATTCGTAACTAAACTTTAAATCTGATTTCGTAAGGATATACATCTAAACCACTTACCAACATCAACATCATATGTGCATAACTTACATACATCATTTGCTCAAAAGTTATTTCATATTACATAAATGTTAATCCCATTCACGAAACTATTAAAAATAAATTTCTATACGTAGTATACAGATCGTCCAATGACGTAGACAGGTAGAAACACCTCTGATGAAAATATTGCAAATAACTTTTTGTAAACCGGAGAAACATTGCATTTTTGCAAATCAATCCGTTAAATTCATTTTCAGATGGATTTTGGGAATTCGCTCCATTGGTTTCGATTTCATCCATTGAAAAGCTCAGTCAGCATCCCTTTCAGTCTGGCGCGTACAAATACGCGGTATGATCAGTTCAATTAGATTTTTTTCTCCCTGCATATCGTGCTTTGATGTTTCCATCATGTGAGAATCCCTTTGTAAACATTCCAAACCCCTATGGCCTATGACACAATTACGGGGACAATTGCGTTGCATGAAATAAACATGATTCTATTGCACTAATTAAATCACGCGCCAACTCAAGTCACTTTAGCATCGGAATGTGGACGCATATTGAAGTCGCCATAATCGCGAACTCTTTGATTACTTGCCATGAAAGTTGAGGAATTATTCACGAGGGATTGGTTCATTACGGATCTCGTAATTAGGCGAAACTCATTGGATTGCCCCGAGAATTCGTGAGCCGACTTTCTGATCCTGAAGGCTTCTCCTTTAAGTCAGTAGTTACTTCATTGTCCGGTCAGACGTTTATGAGAGTTCGCCTCGACTCGAAAATCACTACTTAACTTTGTAGACATAAATTCCCCCTTCCAAAACCAATGTTTCTCTTCCAATTACGAAGCCTAAAATATCACCTCCAAAGAAACTGCAGATAAGGTAAACTGAAAGCACAGCAGAGAAAAAAACTTTTCTAACGCATAATTTACAATTGTAAAACACCCTTGAGTAAATTCGGTAATATAGGCAACCCGATGTATGTAGATATACGGAGTTTAAAAGTGGTGTATATAAATACATTTTAAAGACATTAAGAGAGAAAAAACTTTCGCAACTTAAGCAGGATTTCATTAGCATACCCTGTAATGTAGGCAACCCGAAATACACGGAAGCAGAAATGGTAGAGTACCAACAGGCGACTCGTCCGATACACGTAACAGCAGTTTAGCAAGTTTCCTGGATAATTGAATCTTAATCACTTTACTATATTTACCGTTTTAATTTCAACCATATCTATGGAAATGATATACCAAGGAGAAATGAACCACTTCTCGGCCACGAATAGGCATGTGTCATTGCGACTATTAGAAGTCAGCCATTACGTGACTCAAGATGGCCAAGTTAAAGAAAAAAAAAAGGCTTCCAATCCAGTCACGGCATTACGAAACACATTTTATAGATATCATTATGTTTTCCTTAACCTCGTTTTCCATGTGTTTGATTAATACCCAGGAGAATCTGGCCTGACGTACCTTGTTATCAGTCCCCTGTATTATGTCAGTAAAAGAAAGAGAGAGTCTCACTTTCTCTAAGGCAAGTAGAGATAACTAAAAGCGATAACTCGAAATAAGATTAACTTGGAGTACTTGCGCCATTTTATTCGGAATATTTACTACAACTCACCGGCAACCGAACATTTATTCCAGACAGAGTTATCGATTTATTATAATTAAATTCATAATTTCCATTTAAATGTAAAAATACTTGGTAATATGAAATTCTTTGAAATCGTTCTCTCAAATCCTGAGTTTGGAAATCGTACTCGAAATAAAATCGCCTCTTCGGCTCAAAACAAAAGCCAGCTTAAATAAAATAATTACTCCAAATTCCAAGAATCATTACAAATTATTTGTCGTACTTCTACTAGATAATGCATTTATGTTTGCAATGTTATTTTCATCGAATCCTTAAAATTGTATATCATTTTAATTTTACCGTTTCATTCCTTCTTCTGAAACACAGAATTCCTTCATCGGTCTGTATGTCGAATCGAAAATAATCGATTGTGACGGGAGGTGCATTCATAGGCGTAAAAACGACCCCTTCGGCTGTCATCCGGAAACCGAGGAGTCGATAAAAAGTGACACTTAGGAGTGCTGCTCAGTACTTGATAAAGTAATCCATCTTAGACAGCTGTGCACCAGGGTGGTACGAGCGAGGGCGTTGTCGCAGCCCCATGAATCACTTACCTTAATGTCCCACCCTTAAATTATACCGGAAGTGAGTGGTTGTCTCGAGTTTCGAATTCATGGCCGGGATTTTCCTGGAATTGGAGTCGAAGAAACATGTCACCTGCGGTCGAAAATAATTAAATAAATAAATAGTATTAATTTATGAAATATAATCATAATTCTGCCCTCAGGAATAAAATTGATGCTCTCCCGATATCAATCTTCACGTACCTGCCCATTCACCTGATAAGTCGAGAGCAACACCCCCATTGTTTTTAAAACTACTGTGAAATAAAAACACCTTGCAATTAACCGCAACTTATAATTACTTTCACCCCAATTTCTACGGTGAATCAATTTTCGGAAAATACAGGAAAAGAGAAATGAAAGTGAAATTAAACTTTCGAAAGAGAACGACTTAATTGAGGGATGTGGAAACTTAACGCTGATGTAACAAGGGATATGCTTTTGCAGTGGCTGTTTAATAATCGATTGGATTACATTGAATTTTCGGATGCATTGTTGATCGTTAATTAGGTCATTTACTACGGTCGTAAAGTATCGAGTAGAGACCCGATGTACCTTGTAATATAATTAAAGGACAGACTACCCAACAAAATTTCCCTCATTTCACGTATCCTCGTTGCGGCCGTAAAAACCAAAATGGCGCCCCGGAGACTTCCGCCAGGCATCGTCGCAGCAATAAAGACACGCAACCCTCTCGAAGGTAAATCATGAAAATTCATGGCATCGAAATTCGCCGAATTTTTTTCCCGCCGCTTGTAAGCTCCCACGCTGGAGGATATTTGAATGCAAATAGCGAGCTTGGTCACTCGGAAGCTTTGTCGCTTTTTTTCTTTGACCTTTACATAACCGCCCTGGGGCAGTTCCATCCAAATATGCCTTGGATTCAGCCCGCCATGTTGAAATTTCTCTCCAACTGTCAATACCTACAATTATCTTTCCTATTACAAACTTCATTGTACATTCGCACAATTGAAAACGAATTTAAAACCAGGATTTGTGTTCCGATTCGGAAGCGTCCTCGTCCCCTCGCGTCCGCCATCTTGGAATCCTCCATAAAGTCCCAAGAGGCGGTATGGAAACTGAAATTGACTTTGCTCTTCCCATCTGAAGAAGATCAATTGTCGACATTAATAATTTCACCTACCACTCCGAAATGTAATCGAAGAGTAGGTTCGCCTTTTTCATAATTGTATCCACGTGGAATTCAGCCCGCCATGTTGAAATTCCTCGCCAACCGTCAATACCTACAATTATCTTTCCTATTACAAACTTCATTGTACCATCGCAGAATTGAAAACGAATTTAAAACCAGGATTTGTGTTCCGATTCGGAAGCGTCCTCACCCCCTCGCGTCCGCCATTTTGGAATCCTCTATAAAGTCCCAAGAGGCGGTACGGAAACTGAAATTGACTTTGCTCTTCCCGTCCAATGAAGAGCAATTATGGACATTAATAATTTCACCTACCACTCCGAAATGTAATTGAAGAGTAGATATCGCCTTTTTCATAGCCGTGCCCAGGAGGAATTCAATTGCGCGTAATTGAGTACTCGAGACGTCGTGGCCTAAATTGAAGGCCATATTATCCGTCGTTGGTCGACCGGGGGAATACAGGAATATCGCAATTTCCCATGGACGCGTTTTCAGGCGGCCGCCATGCTTGGCTGCGGGCGTGCCGGGCAGAAAGCCTTCTTCTTGGCGGCGACCTTGTCATCCTCGACAGCACCGAAGGAGGCTAAACTCACGCGTTATGCCCCGTGGAGGTGGCAAATGCATATATAGGAGTTATCTGTCGGAGATTTACGCAGAACACCATCCTCCCGCCCAAGAAGTTGCGCCTTCGAAGTCGCCGTCTTGGAAACCGCCATTGACGACATGAAGGGGTACATCCTCGTAAGTACTGTTCTCGATCGATTTTTCCCCTCGTTTCGGGACGCAACTCGCGTTTGCCAAGCGTTCGCCTTTAAAGGGGATTCCAGTTAGGGTGGAACACGAGGAAAGTGTCCATTTTATGGATCGGGTGACCCGATAACCGATATTCAACAGGAGGGCAAGCGCTCTTCGGCTGCTCTTCGTATCCGTATTCTTCGAATTTTATTTCCCATCGTACTAACTCCGTACTTTAAAGAGATCGCTTGCTCGAGACGTTTGATGCTAGATATTTTCAAGTTGATATTGCAAATTTACGAATTATATATTGAATCAACTATCGGTGAAGAGTTTTTATTCTTGAAATTCCTTAAAGGGGACATGGGAGGGGTATACCTGAAGTTGATGGGATTTTAATTATCTGGATTTCTATTCAATTCGAGGAAAGTACCTGACAAAATTACAGGAAAATTCCGGGTAATAAGGAATTGCGTATCCTTCATGGTGTGGCAGAGTAAGTGCTTTCGGGAAGTCCCGAAGTGTGACTTCCGTTGCGTGCCGGAAGTTACCCAACGCCAAGAATGTCTTCTCCTGCGTTTGCGATATTCTTTTTCTTACCAATTGACCGTTCCAGTCGACATCGATGTAGTTCGGATAAGAACATAATTTATAAACGATATTGTTTAGCCTTGTTTAGTCTTTATATGCTATAAAAATGGCGCAATTAGTGTTCTATTATTTAAATTTCTAGATAGCTTCTGTTTTTTCCAATCCTTTCAGGTTTCGATTTTGGCTTGCCTAGTGGCATTATGCAGCAGTGCAGTGGAAATTCAAGAGCCGTCGAAATTAACATCTACCATAAATAAACCTAATGGAGACGTGAAGGACCTCGACGCAGAGGCCAGTGACCGGAGTAAGTAACAATGGCCATTCATGCGCCGCCATTTTCCTCCACTTTCTTTCCAGTGAAAAATGCACTCCGTTAGCACATCCTCTGAATATTTCGACATTTTTTTCCCGGAAAGTATTTGGAATTTCCACGATATTAAAATACTTACGAACTTCGTGCTTGAAAGTTAAGGGAATATCTGAAAATAAAGAACCGGAAGGACGTCTTTTAATCAGCCTTCTTCAGGAAGTAATCGATTAGAAGAAATAATGAAACGACGCCTTCGCAATCTGATGCACTGAATTCGGGGGGTAAAATTACGAATTGATGAAAGTAACGCTCGTATTAAAAATATCAATTAACTTTACATTGGAAATGTGAATCTATATCCACAATCAAGAACTCCGTCATTATACAATCAAGCACCCTTGTAATGAAATTAATTGAAGTATGGAAGTAATCGTCCAACGACATGTCATTGATTTAATGGATTTAATTCACTTTTATGTGAAAGTACGTATCGATAGAGTTATTATCTTCGTTCCTGCTGCGAGATGAAGAGATCGATTAAGTCGTCATCCATCATCGTTAGCAATCTGGCTTTTCAATCTCGATGCGCAATTCGATTTGGACCCATTCGAAGAAACAATCGTAGAACCGCAACATTTAGGTTAATTAACCTTCTCCTTGGCGCATTTACCTCGATGGTTAATTCAAGGTGTGGCTTTTTAGAGTGACTTCATGCGCGAAGTCTGTTTACGAATGTACGTGGAGAAGTTCACGCCCATAACGCATCGAAGGCTCTAATAATATCAACAAGTTCAATCCTTCAAGTTAATTAACTGATCTACACTCGTGTAACTAATAAAAAAGATAAAGGAGCGACCTTCGAGGACGCATTGCGTTTGCATAATAGGATGAATGTCATCGTACAATAAAAACGGTTCAGTTCCCAGAGCGTGGGAATAGCAGTGACACACTTAGTGAATGCACATCGTGTAAACCGGATAACAATCGCTAATTTTTCATAATAGTTGCAATCCTGCCTTTAATTCCTGGCTTGGTGCCCGCTAACGACGATGCATAATTATGCGGTACGTTTATACTGCGTACAAACTAATTAAATGTATTACTTTGAAGGGCAACTTTTCATCAGGATGGATCGAGTTTAACTCTCTAAGCGTATATTTCAAGATTATCAAATAATTTTATTTAATCAGTACTAGGTGATTATTGTTTATTAATGTGTATTTAACTACATGCCGAGGGCGGCAATATCCCTAATTTGAAAATCGTAAAAAAGTGAACTTTAGTCTGGTTAATGAACGTACGCCGCGTAAACTGAATAACAATCGGTAATATAATTATTATTCCAATATTGCATTATAATTTCAATATTGACTTTAGTTCCTAGATAGGTGAGTGGTAACAACCATGCATAATTATGCAGTACATTTATACTGCGTACAAATTAATTAAATATCTTACTTTAACCGGCAGTTTTTCGCGTAGGTGGTTTGAGTTTAACTCTTCAAACAATATACTTAAAAATTATAGAATTATTTTTATTAATAGATTATTTTGAAGTAACACTTGCAGAGGGATGCAACGGAGTATGCAAATATTCATAATTTGAAAATCGTAAAAAAAAGAACGTTAGTCCGGTAAGTCCAGATTGCATCTAAAGAAGTTATAGGTATTCCTTTGAAAGAAAAATTTCATAAAAATAAGTTCGCCTCATTATCCATACATTTTCTCTTAACATGTGTAAACTAAATAAGTGAAATCATGACATTATTTTTATTAAAATAATATAGTATGTGTATTTGCTAGTAACGCTTTTTTAACTATTTTCCGAGTTAAGCAATGGAGTTAGCAAATATTTCCAGTTGGGTTGCGCGAGTTATGTGGATACCTTGTATCTCCGTTGAAACCTGCTATATGATTTATAAAACAAGCAGACCTGCTTGACGTCATTTCCTCTTCCTGAGAAAATTGTCTCGCTTCGGGGCAAATGGGTATAGTGAGCAACCGATACGCCATGAACCATATCCTGTCAAGGTTTGACAGATTATCGCGCAATCTATTCAACCAATCTGTCCATGAACAAGATAATATGTAACATAGACTACAATAATCGGTAGAGATGGAAAAGAAACTTTCGCGCCTGACATCCGAAACTCTGGTACAGGAAACAATCATAAAAGGAATATCATGAACTGAAATTTCTCGTTTTTCCATATAAAAGCTGAAGTGCATAAAATATCGGAAATCCATTTCCCTCGTTTATTCCGGAAAATTGTATGCAACCAAGGATCTCGTTGCCCGAATGACGATTAAACATAATAAATAGCAATTTACATACGTTACAGTTTTTAATAAATGTATGATCCACCTTCCAGGATTAAATAAACTTCAGTATCGATGCCTATTAACCAACATGCATCAACGATTTATTTTGTGTACATTTATCCGGTGTTTTTCATCGAAAAATATTTTCCTCACTCCATGTATTCCCTACAAAGAGGATTACGTGGAAATTATTTCACCGAGTGTTGGCAACATATTTTATTTGAAATGCGCGTATGCACCTTTTTGTGTTGGAAACGTTCGTCGTGAAACGTGTAATAAATTTAATTATTTTGGGTACATTTATCCGGTATTTTTGACCGAAAAATATTTACCTTACTCCATGTATTCCCTACAAAGAGGATTAAGTGGAAATTAGTTCACCGGGTGTGGCGACATATTTTATTCGAAATGCGCGTATACACCTTTTTGTGTTGGAAACGTTCGTCGTGAAACGTGTAATAAATTTATTTATTTTGGGTACATTTATCCGGTGTTTTTGACCGAAAAATATTTACCTTACTCCATGTATTCCCTACAAAGAGAATTAGGGTGTGGCGACATATTTTATTCGAAATGCGCGTATACACCTTTTTGTGTTGGAAACGTTCGTCGTGAAACGTGTAATAAATTTATTTATTTTGGGTACATTTATCCGGTGTTTTTGACCGAAAAATATTTACCTTACTCCATGTATTCCCTACAAAGAGAATTACGTGGAAATTATTTCACCGAGTGTTGGCGACATATTTTATTTGAAATGCGCGTATACACCTTTTTGCGTTAGAAACGTTTGTCGTGAAACGTGTAATAACTCGGTTCATACCAATCTCGGCGTGGAAATTTATAGGTTTTCCTGTAAGCTTCCCTTGTTCCAGCATTCCTAGTCAACAGGGACTATGGTGCCTACGGAGGAAGTTATGGGAGTGGCGGCGGCCTATACGGGAGTTACCCAGGAATAGGAACTTCCCTTTATGGACAGAGTGCCACATATCGTGGCTTGGGTCTTAATAATGGGTACAGAGGGTACGGAGGAATTCTCGGAGGTGGTCATACCGGGTAAGATGCACTTCGTGATTAAATTGTAAACTTGCAAATGAAGGAGTTCTGGAAGGCATCATTTTCTGTGGGAATACGGAATACACCGTGACTGTTTAAAATTTAACATTTAAGGGAAATTAAACGCGCTAATTAAGGTGTACTGGCAGAGAATAATTTTCGTTAAATTATAGTGTAACTACTTTAAGCCAAATATAGGTAAGATGAAGGAATGAAGGAAAATCCATTCATTCCGTGGCGAAAAATATATTTTGTGGAAAATCTGGTAGACGTGTTATGGCGTTTAATTGTATAAAATTATTGAAATTCTTTTCAGGTATGGCTATTACGGTGCTACTGGGCTAGGACCTAGTTATGGATATGGATATGGAACGGGATATGGAACCGGATATGGAACGGGATATGGAACCGGATATGGAACGGGATATGGAACAGGATATGGAACGGGATATGGAACCGGATATGGAACCGGATATGGAACCGGATATGGAGGTTATGCAGGATTAGGATATGGAGGATACGGTTCCGACTACGGAAGCTATGGTTCTGGATACAATGGATATGGTTATAATTATAATGGATATGGTAATGGCTACGATAGTGGATACTTGGGATACGGTCGAGGTGGTTATGGTGGTTATGGTGCTTATGGAAAGGGATATGGAGGTTACAAGGGTGGTTACGATCCATACGATACCCGTGGAACTGTTTATAGTAGTTACGCTGGTATTGCTGGTGGTTATCCAACAGGCTACAGAGGCTACTCGTAACGAGATAACTCAACGTCTCGTTTATTATAATTTTTTTTAACTTTTGTATACGTTTTAATGTTTAAAACCCAAAAAGGTTCGAGAGAGAAATTACTAAGTATCTTTAATAATTCTTATCGCCTGTAAATTAGTCCCATTATAGTTGACAAAAATTAATTACGCACATGTTCGTACACATTTTTTCGGTTTCTATTTTAAATCATGAAATAATTACTTACTTACCTTCCATTGTACATCTATGTATCGAATTTCATCGGAACCAAGTCGTAGGTACTTTCATGTCATCATCAAAGTTACACTTATAACATTAAGTTGTCGTAATGTTTTTAATGTGTTGAACCATTTGAGAGTCTAACATGTAGTCCTCTACCAATTTCATTGAATAGGATGAAAAAGGTGAGAAATGAAATATGATAAGTCGAAGTAAATAAAAATAATAATTAGTACGAAGTCAGTGAAGGGGGAATAAATAGCTTCTTGATATATGAAATTGTATAATTTATTTGTCAATACGTCTAGTTGCATTCACTATTGCGAAGCATATATTACATGGCTTAATTCGAATTAATTCTAGATAATCTCGTAGTATAGCACCGATTAACATTTTCGTCAAGTCTGGCGCTCGATAATGGCATCGAGGGATTGGAACGCTCGAAAAAAAAAAAAATTATGAAACTTCCCTTCCCTTTCTGCACCTAAATCGTCACGAAGGGGGAAGATGAACAAGCCGAAGGAGACCTACCCTAAAATGTCTTCTTAAAATGGATGATTAGGTTAAGGGACCTAAGAGTGACCGCGATATCTAAATTAAGTACTGAGTCTGTATGGAACCTAATATGAGGTACTGTACAATTGCAGACAGTATGGAACATGATCTTCGAGTAATAAAACGCAAGGACCACCAGACCTACAACTAAATCCCAGGCTAAGAAATGCAGAGGGCCTGTTCAATGGTTATTCTTAACCACAAGACACGTTATCAACGCGTAAATACTCAATTTGATCCTAATCACCGATCATGATTCCCGAATTTCCAGACATGACCATTGAACAGGCCCTCACTTATACCTACGTTAAATCGCGAACGAAGTTCCCCTCGTACAAAGCTATCGCAGTCAGTTAGAACAAAGTGCCTCGCAAAGTTTCAAAGTCTGATTCTGGAAACACCGGCGAAAATATCTGCACCACAGATTTTCCATTTTTAGAATTTCCATCGCTCAAGCGTTTTAATTCTCGGCTCGAAGTGACACCCACAAATCTTTCCATTAAACCGACGCACAATTTCTAGCGGTTCATCCTGAACGATTTGAACGAAAACAACCGCACCAAATAATGCATCCTAATACTTCTAATTGTACCTAGGGAAATTCCTGATTCCCTAGCGAGAATCAATTGCAGATCTCGATCTATGGAGATCTGCGCGAAGGCGAGATAAGTATCCAAATGCAGTTCTTCGGTGAAAGTGCAGTCAGCTCTGTTGGGGTACCAATCCTGCCGACATCGGTTTAATGATCACCAGGACAGGACCCCAAGAGGAGACAAGAGTTTCCTTGTAGACTGGGGGATCAGGGGATGCGATAACCCTAAAAAGAGTCAAAGCACCCGCGAGTGGCACCTCTAGTGGCCATCCATCAGCTGACCAGCAGCTGGTGCACGGGCAGTTGGGGTTCGCCGATTCGCCGATTGGTTCCCTCCAAAGGTAGATACTTCTCCCCGAGTGGGGTGGAATGCAAAGACAATAAGTTAGCATTACGCTCCTCGTTCGACTTTCCTCCGGCTGACTTTGCGCCTCTGTACTCGGGCCTTGACTGGAACATTCAAAAATCCAAGGTTGGCCCGACTCAGAGCGGCCCTTAGTTGTTCTAGGTTCCCAAGCTGACCAAGATCGAAGGGTTCCTTCGTAAGCTCGCCGTGTTGCGAGCCGCACGCGTTGCACGGGTATGGAATGGGCGTAGCGGATGGGAACATGAGAGCCGCCTTGTCGGTGTCCGACTTTTCGCCAGGGCAGTAGGGCACGAAAATCACCGGGATGAATCCAAGCTGACCGGTTAGGGAAGTGGGGGTCGTGGTGGTGGCAACGGTCTCGGCGCTGGTTGCGTTTTGGGACTCGACTACATAGCAAGGACAAGCTTCGGCATCAGGACCGAACGGTAGCGAGATAGGCTTGATGTTGATGGGGCCAGGTGGCTGGACACCTATCGCGCGGAAGCCCAAATCGGACTTTGGAGGTGAAGGATTTACCTGTTCGCCCAGGGAAACGAGCTCTCCACCGCCCTCCGACCTGCTGGAGGAGTCGACCTTAGTCTGGGATCTTTCGGTATACCGTTGCTGGTGGAACCCGCGTTCTTGGTCGAAGCTGGATGTCCTCTGATACTGTCCGCGTCGTTGATGGTCCTCGTGCTTCTGGACTTGTTCTAATCCTCCCGACCGTTCATTCTCTCTCTGGAATTCATTGTTCCTTGATGATTGGGCCAGGTCGGACTGTTCGAACTTGTGCTGCTTTCGCAGGTCAAAACCGTCTTTCGTGTCCTTTTGGCTAGTACGTTGGTTGTCCCGTTGCCGTTGGCCGTCGTTAGAAAAGGTTCGACCGTGCTTCGTCAAACGATCCTGAGACAGGTGCGAGACTTTCTGCAGGTCGTAGTTGTCGTAGTTCCGCTCGTAGTCGGTAGTTCGTTCGCGTTGGTCCTGCTGCGGAGATTCGAACCGTGATCGATCCACTTTCGTCAGTCCGTCGTAGTTGACAAGTCGTTCGGAGTATTTCGTTACTTCAGTGCGGGTTTGCGCTCCGCTAGGGTTCTCTATGTCCTGTCTGTGTTTGTCTTCGGCTCTACTCAGTTTGGTCACTGGGAATTGGAAGTTATCGTTAAAGTTTGATATATCATTACTTGTGAATCCGAATTGCGACAAGGGGCTGGCAGTTTTCGTCGTCAAGGGTGCACTGGATTTAACGACCGACGGCCGGGATGTTGGTTTTACCCCCGGGACGTAGTCGGGATCTCCAGGCCAGGGACCATCGGGACCCGGAGGTCCAGTCGGCCAAGGTCCGTCCGGCCCATCAGGGCCAACACCCCCGACACCGCCGACACCACCGACGCCTCCGACGCCACCAATTGGACCGGTTGGACCAGTTGGCCCGGTCCCACCAATGGGACCTTCAGGTGCGCCAGGGTAGCCAGGATAACCAGGGTAGCCAGGATCAGTTGGTTCTGCGCTCCCAGGATGTCCTGGATAACCAGGGTAACCTAAAATTGGATACGAGAATGGATTACAAACCGATCGACTATATGATGCAGACCTGTAATGTTATACTTGTATAAGGTTCCATTGTTAATAAAAAACGTAGAAAAGTAGTATGGATGCGACATTTGTTGTTATGTTGATGATCACGGAGTTTTTATAAGTGGTGGACAAACTTGCCTGGGAATCCGGGAATTCCTGGAGATCCAGGTTTGCCAGGCTTTCCGGGGTGACCGTGATGCCCAGGTTTACCAGGCCGTCCTGGTTTTCCAGGGTGCCCGGGATGACCGGGGTGACCGGGGTGTCCGGGATGTCCGGGATGTCCGGGATGTCCGGGGTGTCCAGGGTGTCCTGGGTGTCCCGGAATAGGTGGCGTTCCAGGTGTTCCAGGCGTTCCGGGATAACCAGGATATCCCGGTATAGGCGGTGATCCGGGTGTACCAGGGGTGCCAGGAGTTCCAGGGTGGCCAGGGTATCCCGGTATAGGCGGTGTTCCGGGTGTACCAGGGGTACCAGGAGTTCCAGGGTGTCCAGGATATCCCGGTATTGGCGGCGTTCCGGGCGTGCCTGGGGTTCCAGGAGTTCCAGGGTGGCCAGGATATCCCGGAATTGGTGGTCGTCCAGGTGTTCCCGGTGTTCCTGGAGTACCAGGGAAGCCTGGGTGTCCTGGTATAGGTGGCGTTCCAGGTGTTCCAGGCGTTCCGGGATGACCAGGATATCCCGGTATAGGCGGTGATCCGGGTGTACCAGGGGTACCAGGAGTTCCAGGGTGGCCAGGGTATCCCGGTATTGGTGGCGTTCCGGGCGTGCCTGGGGTTCCAGGTGTTCCAGGGTGGCCAGGATATCCCGGTTTTGGTGGCGTTCCAGGCGTTCCGGGATGGCCGGGGTATCCCGGTATAGGTGGCGTTCCAGGTATGCCAGGGGTTCCTGGAGTGCCAGGATAACCTGGGTGTCCCGGAATTGGTGGTGTTCCTGGTGTTCCTGGAGTGCCAGGATAGCCTGGGTGTCCCGGTACAGGCGGCGTTCCAGGTGTGCCAGGGGTTCCAGGAGTTCCAGGGTGGCCAGGATATCCCGGGATTGGTGGCGTTCCAGGCGTGCCTGGAGTGCCAGGATAGCCCGGATGTCCTGGGATGGGCGGAGTTCCGGGCGTACCCGGGGTTCCAGGTGTTCCTGGATGGCCAGGGTATCCCGGTTGTCCTGGTGTGGGTGGGGTGCCAGGAGTGCCAGGTGTTCCAGGATGCCCATGATGCGGCGGTTTTTCAGGCTTTCCAGGATGCCCATGATGCGGTGGTTTTTCGGGCTTTCCAGGGTGTCCGTGATGCGGCGGCTTCTCAGGTTTCTCTGGACGTCCGGGATGTCCATGACTCGGTGGTTTTCCAGGCTTGCCTGGATGACCATGGTGCGGCGGCTTTCCAGGCTTTCCCGGGTGGCCTGGCAGAGTGGGATGTCCAGGATGTCCAGGCAGGGTGGGAAGTCCAGGATGACCAGGATGACCTGGGTGTCCCGGATGACTTGGATGGCCAGGAAGTCCAGGGAAACCGGGATGTCCAGGGAGACCCGGATGTCCAGGGAAACCGGGATGGCCAGGATATCCAGGAATTGGTGGTCGTCCAGGTATTCCCGGTGTTCCCGGTGTACCTGGCTGCCCGGGAATAGGTGGTGTACCAGGGGTGCCAGGAGTTCCTGGTATTCCAGGCTGACCGGGATGACCCGGTGTTGGCGGTGTTCCGGGTGTACCAGGGTGACCAGGGAATCCCGGATGTCCAGGTGTTGGAGGAGTCCCAGGGGTTCCCGGCGTTCCTGGTGTTCCGGGGTGCCCTGGGTACCCAGGAATAGGAGGTGTTCCAGGACTGCCTGGCGTGCCCGGCGTGCCAGGATAGCCAGGGTGCCCAGGTATTGGTGGCGTACCTGGTTGACCGGGGATCCCTGGGGTTCCTGGATGACCTGGAGTTGGCGGAGTTCCAGGAGTGCCCGGTGTTCCCGGTGTACCTGGCTGCCCAGGATGACCCGGTATCGGAGGTTTTCCTGGAGTACCCGGAGTCCCAGGGGTTCCTGGATAACCAGGGTGTCCAGGAATCGGTGGGGTCCCGGGAGTTCCTGGCGTTCCCGGATGACCAGGATAACCTGGTATTGGCGGCGTTCCAGGTGTGCCAGGAGTTCCTGGAGTTCCAGGGTGACCAGGATATCCCGGTATGGGTGGCGTTCCGGGCGTGCCTGGTGTTCCAGGTGTTCCAGGGTGGCCAGGGTATCCCGGTATAGGCGGTGTTCCGGGTGTACCAGGGGTGCCAGGAGTTCCAGGAGTTCCAGGGTGACCAGGATATCCCGGAATTGGGGGTCGTCCAGGTATTGCCGGTGTTCCTGGAGTACCAGGGAAGCCTGGGTGTCCCGGTATAGGTGGCGTTCCAGGTGTACCAGGCGTTCCGGGATGACCAGGATATCCCGGTATAGGCGGTGTTCCGGGTGTACCAGGGGTGCCAGGAGTTCCAGGGTGGCCAGGATGTCCCGGGATTGGTGGCGTTCCGGGCGTGCCTGGGGTTCCAGGAGTTCCAGGGTAGCCAGGATATCCCGGAATTGGTGGTCGTCCAGGTGTTCCCGGTGTTCCTGGAGTACCAGGGAAGCCTGGATGTCCCGGTATAGGTGGCGTTCCAGGTGTTCCAGGTGTTCCGGGATGACCAGGATATCCCGGTATAGGCGGCGTTCCAGGTGTGCCAGGGGTTCCAGGAGTTCCAGGATGGCCAGGAAATCCTGGAATTGGTGGTCGTCCAGGTGTTCCTGGTATTCCTGGGTGACCTGGATGCCCAGGAATTGACGGTATTCCAGGAATGCCTGGCGTGCCCGGTGTACCCGGGGAGCCAGGATATCCAGGAGTCGGAGGCGTTCCAGGCGTGCCTGGGGTTCCAGGTGTTCCAGGATGGCCAGGATATCCCGGAATTGGTGGTCGTCCAGGTGTTCCCGGTGTTCCTGGAGTACCAGGGAAGCCTGGGTGTCCCGGTATAGGTGGCGTTCCGGGTGTTCCAGGTGTTCCGGGATGTCCAGGATATCCCGGTATTGGTGGCGTTCCGGGCGTGCCTGGGGTTCCAGGTGTTCCAGGGTGGCCAGGATATCCCGGAATTGGTGGACGTCCAGGTGTTCCTGGTGTTCCTGGGTGACCTGGATGACCAGGAATTGAAGGTATTCCAGGAATGCCTGGCGTTCCAGGAGTACCCGGATGACCAGGGTGTCCAGGTATCGGCGGCGTTCCTGGGATACCGGGAATTCCCGGTTGACCAGGATGTCCTGGAGTTGGAGGATGGCCAGGCGTGCCTGGTGTTCCTGGCGTTCCAGGATGACCAGGATGCCCCGGAATTGGAGGCTTGCCTGGTGTGCCTGGCGTTCCAGGATGTCCAGGATGTCCAGGTATCGACGGCGTTCCTGGGATTCCCGGAGTTCCTGGAGTTCCAGGATGCCCGGGGTGGCCTGGTATAGGAGGTGTACCTGGTGTGCCTGGTATTCCAGTATGTCCAGGATGTCCAGGAATAGGAGGTGATCCAGGTGTTCCTGGTGTTCCGGGATGACCTGGATGCCCTGGTATTGGAGGACGCCCTGGTGTGCCTGGCGTCCCCGGTGTTCCAGGGTGACCAGGATGTCCAGGATGTCCCGGAATTGGAGGAGTTCCAGGTGTGCCTGGTGTTCCAGGAATTCCCGGGAAACCGGGATGTCCTGGTATTGGTGGCGTTCCTGGAGTGCCAGGAATTCCTGGTGTTCCAGGATAACCGGGATGCCCAGGTATCGGTGGCGTCCCCGGGGTGCCTGGTGTGCCTGGATGCCCGGGGTGGCCTGGTATTGGAGGTGTACCTGGTGTGCCTGGTATTCCCGGAACTCCTGGAGTTCCAGGATGACCAGGATGCCCTGGAATTGGAGGCTTGCCTGGTGTGCCAGGCGTTCCAGGATGACCAGGATGCCCCGGAATTGGAGGCTTGCCTGGTGTGCCTGGTGTTCCAGGAATTCCGGGGAAACCGGGATGTCCAGGAATTGGTGGCGTTCCTGGGATTCCGGGAATTCCTGGAGTTCCAGGATGTCCAGGGTGGCCTGGTATTGGAGGTGTGCCTGGAATCCCTGGAATTCCAGGGTGTCCGGGATGACCAGGATGTCCAGGAATTGGTGGTGTTCCAGGTGTGCCTGGCGTACCAGGATGTCCGGGGTGTCCGGGATGACCAGGAATAGGCGGTATTCCTGGTGTCCCAGGCGTTCCTGGATGTCCGGGATGTCCAGGAATGGGAGGTGTTCCAGGAGTACCAGGTGTTCCTGGATGTCCAGGTGTTGGCGGCCTTCCTGGCGTTCCAGGTGTCCCAGGTGTCCCCGGAGTTCCTGGATGTCCAGGCACTGGTGGTATGCCGGGAGTTCCCGGATGGCCAGGGTGACCTGGAGTGCCTGGGTGTCCCGGTACGGGTGGTTGCCCTGGCGTTCCTGGTGTTCCTGGATGACCAGGTATCGGAGGCGTTCCCGGTGTACCAGGGTGGCCAGGATGTCCAGGATGGCCTGGAATTCCTGGGAATCCTGGGAATCCTGGTTTAGGCGGTCGCCCTGGTGTCCCCGGTGTCCCCGGGGTCCCCGGTTTTGGTGGTTTCCCTGGAATTCCTGGATGCCCGGGGAAGCCAGGATGCCCGGGAATACCTGGGAATCCTGGATGCCCAGGCCTTGGTGGCGTACCAGGAGTTCCCGGGGTCCCTGGAGTTCCTGGCGTCGGTGGCTTTCCTGGGTGTCCAGGAATCGCCGGAATTCCTGGTATACCAGGGAATCCAGGGTAACCCGGCACTGGTGGTGATCCTGGAGTTCCAGGTGTTCCTGGCTTTCCTGGAGTACCAGGATGTCCAGGTATATGAGGTTTGCCTGGAATTCCTGGGATGCTGGGGTACCCAGGATATGTCGGTGTTCCGGGTTGTCCAGGTTCTGAACACATTTAATGTTCACGGTATGAATACAAGTACTTATATCTTCCAAGCATCATTGTAACTTACCTTGTGGCTGTCCTGGAGGCGGTGAAATCGTTGGTCGAACGTTAGTCCCTTCGAACTGTGAACATACCGATGGGAAGTGCAGATTTGTCCAAGGCGTGATCACTCCGTGATGTTCGTGATGGTCACCGCTTTCGTTGCTGTGATCATGATGTTCGTGCTTGTGCAAAAATAGCTCTATGTCGTTTCCAGGACGGACGACTCGATATCCCCATCCATCACTGATGTAGAATGTTGCAACGAGCTTCCCGAAAGGATCGACGTAACCGTAACATCCGTAAGTGACGCCATCAGGACCTTTGACTTCGTGGTGGAATTGGCCATCCGGGGCCACTTCGTACCCATAATTGTAGGAGTCTGAGAATTGTAAATTCGTTAGTCTTGCAATACCAACAATTGACATTTTCTTTCACTTAACTTCAGATCCTGTAACTTACTCGAATTGATGTCTTGTCCCAGATACTGTGATTTCAGCTTGTCGTTTATTTCCAATATGAGTTCCCTGCCTTCTCTTTCATTTTGCGCCTGTGCGATTTGCAGAACGGATGCTGCAAACGCCTGCAGAAAATCAAACGGAGCTGGTTAGTATTTAATTACCATGTAATACAGCTTATACATGCCTATTCATATTCCATATCTGCATAGAAATAATTCTTAATAAAAAAAAGAAAAGTAGTATATCCAGCGGGATAAAAATATTCTTCATGGCGCTGATCATATCGAATGCATGAATAAATTCTTGCCAGTCTTATTTCATTCTCTAGGTAGATTTTATGCCAAACTGTTGATTTACTGCTATATTCAGACTGAAGAAAAAAACGGCATAAACGTTTTTTTTTCTTCACCGTAACTACGTCAGCAATTTGGCTTCCATTGCGACATTATTTCTACAATCCACGAGCAAGTGCCTCGGGCTCAATATTAGCATTATCATAAATGGTACACAAATATACATATATACGAGGTGCTATATGGCGATAACCACATAATGCCTTGGTATTGCAACTCAGTTTGCAAAACGATTAACAAAATAGGCAATTCATGCTGTAAAGCTAAAATAAAGGTAATGCCTTGAAGAAGGAAAATTGTCGAGTATAACGCACAGGAGTAATTGCAATCATGTGAGGTACATGTATTACTGTAGCTATGAAAGCGGCAAGGCTTTTGCAACAATTCAAAAAGCAGTTAACATAAAATAGCCATGTAGTGTTCGAAGAGGCGAGAAATTTGTATCCATCGCGCATATAGTACAAGGTGCATCTACTTAATAGATCCTTTATAGGACAATCGCTTTAAATAATAAATTGACTCTGTACATATTGCATGCAAAATATGCCTCTGGTAAGTATCGATCAAATGCAGAGAGTAGTTATGACATTCTACTCGCCTACTCGAATGCATCCCTGAGCTTTACGAGTTATGGCGTAATATGCAATCGATCCCATTGCATTTTAAGCCTGCTGATTCACCCGAATGACTAAAATAGTCTATCAAAAGCGTAATCATTATTTAATGAGGCAGAGTAGCAAGGTATATTATTTGAAGTTAAGGAAATGTCTCTAAGAAGCGTCTTGAATAATTGATTAATAATTCATAATTTTCGGGGAATGTCGGATACGGCATAAAAATTAAACATGCAATTCGGCTCGTTTGGCTCGCAAAGTTCATGCATACATCAACATTTTATTACGTTCAGAGATATTCAAAGCCGCGGGCGAATCTGATGGCTTCCGAAAATAAAGTGAAAGCAGTTTCACTTCTCGCACTATACATCCCACATTCAAAATCCATTTTGAATGGAATGAAAGAGCGCTCATTATACTCTCTTCTTCAAATTGGGTCACGAAGAGTGAACGACAAGCCGCATCATGTAATCACCAATGTGATTGAAAAGAACCACGTTGTAAAAGTTCTTACAATACAGACGTTCGTTTATTCAGGTTTAATCATCTAGTAAAAAAGAAACTATGATGTTCACTTGAAAACATTTATTTATTTCCCTGAATAGGTATTATTTACTGTTCGAGGTAAACACGACTCCCAAATAATCCCAAAGTAGTAGAATTCACGTTTTGTACAATTTCTCAATGCGTAATCCATCACTTTGTGTTTATTGGTTCTTATTTTCTGTGGCTATGAATGATGTAAAAAAAAGTGTCTTGAAATTTACTCTTCCTAATTTGGTAGGCTGTGGAAGAACCGCGGCATCCTGGTGCATCTTTAAATGCACTTTGATGCAATAATTTCACACGTCAACCCACGCTCGAGAGAGAAAGCGAGATCCTGACGCGGTCTCGAAGCTGATCTTCCAGGGCGATGATGACGAACACTGGAGGACTCGTGGATCGGCACGTGTATGTACGAAAGGTTAATATATGCCAATGTTCATACCATGTACCATGAATCAAGTCTTGCGATGGTACTAATACTCGGCGGAATTTGTGTCGCGATGTGTATCAATGGACAATGGCGAGGCGATGACGGAAAACTCGATGACACCAGATCCGAGTTGCAAGACTGATGGAAAACTGACGCCTCCAAATAAATGACAAATCCTGAAAATGTGGATCCTACTTGGTGACATCGATGCCGGAAAAACGCGACCAAAGACTGACAATGAATTATTTCTCATTTTCAAAACTATTCCCGCAACTTGGGATTTATTATTTAGTTTGACCGGTTGTTATTAAATGAAGGGTGCTTCAACAATTTTCGTTACGATGATTAATATATGTAGGGTCAAAATTCAGAATGATTGATGACCAACCACTGCCTTAGCACGGATCAGAAAATTTAGTATGGAATTTTATTTGGTGATTTCAATGCTGGAGATGCGCGACCGCGTATCACTGTCACAGAACGGGAAAGGTCTCGCATGAAACGAGTTTAATTGAAATTCACATAAATACTTTTGAATGTATATCTTCCATATTAGTCATATTTAATGACTCCTTTTCGAGGCATCCGGAGCTCCCGATTGATGATGCAAACGAACATGCGTCATTGTATTACGTATTATTGACGCAACAACCATAAACGTTCAACAAGTCGGCGCTAGGGCGTTCTCTTTGCGACATTACTAGTTTGAATAAAGCAACGGTATAAATTTATTACGCATTATTTTTCTTAGAATTAAATATATTTTTCCGCATAATTTCAAGAATTTTATAGAGAAACTCATTTATTCCGAAACATTGCAAAACAAAG